GAAACAGCTGAGTGCCACGGCAAGGAAGGGAAAGAAGGAGGCGAGGGACTCCGAGAGTGAAGACCCTTCAGAGGAGGTGGCCCAGCTGGGGAGCGTCCAACTTCTTGGGTCGATATCCCAGAGGGGTGGGGAGGTGCACATCCAAAAGAAGGATGAGCAGTACGCGGAGGTGAAGGCCAAGGAGGAAACTTCACATGCGCAGGAGAAGAGAGGTGCCACTTTAAGGTTTGAGTGCACTGACGAGGCTAAGAGGCTGGGCTTGAACTGGAAAGGGCGGCTCGAGTGTTTCCTGTGCAACGGACCGCACATAGTGAAGGACTTCCCGGAGAGGAAGGCACTTGCAGGAACGCAGCAGAGTAAGTTGCTTGGCAAGGGCAAAGAGAAAGCACTTGCAAGGACGCAACAGAGTAGGCTGCATAGCAAGGGCGAAGAGGCAAGCTCCAGCAGCAGCGGACACAGATCATATCAAGACGTGGTAGCTCGGTATGCTTCTGCGTGACGAGGGCGTCACGGGATTGGGTGGAGGAGAGTGTCACGCCCCGACAATTTATGTGACACAAGGAGCAGCGTGGGCGGTATGCTGAAGGCGCTGGAAGGTTCCGGAATGGGGAGACCAACCTAGAGTATGCTGGAAGACTCTAGAATGTGGTAGAAGGGTCCGGAGCGGCCTGGAAGATTCCGGAATGTGGAAGAGCCTTGGAGTGTCCAGAAGAGTCTGGATGGGTCTGGAACATCCTAGATTGTCTTAGAGAAGCCTACCATGTACTACACTAGTGTAAGAGAGTTCTAGATTGTAGTAGATAGGGTAGTTGTCCTAGATAGTTCTATGGAATGTTCTAGATGAGAGTTTGTAACCCTTGGATCAAAATGATCTGAGCCATCCATTAAGGAAGGGGATGGCTATATAAGGGTGAGGGGTCTCATTTGCTAGGAACCTAGAGACCTGGAGATCCAAGAGAGCTCTAAGAGTGAGGCACTTGTGAGTGTGAGTGTGAGAGCCTTGTAAGCTTTGTACACGACTATACTTGTAAATGTTAACTTGTATAGTGAAGGCATTCTTCCACCTAAATTGTGTGTGTTAGTGTGGGTGAGTGGCATTCTTCCACCTAAACTGCGTGTGTTAGTGTGGTTGAGTGGGTAAGGCTAACTTAGGTGCAACCAAGAGGGTTGAGAGGCATCTAAGGCCGCACGGTAGGCTTGCGAAGTCTAAGTCCGTGACACTTGGTCTTTACGACCATGTCATCGATGTAGACTTCTACCGTTTTGCCAATCAGGTGCTTGAACATTTTTGTTACTAACCTTTGGTAAGTTGCTCCGGCATTTTTCAACCCAAAAAGCATTACCTTGTAACAGTATAGGCCTTTAGGGGTGATGAATGCGGTTTTCTCCTCGTCTGGAGGGTACATGGCAATCTGGTGGTACCCCCTGTATGCATCCAGAAAACTCATCCTTTCATGCCCTGAAGTAGCGTCTACGAGCTAGTCAATCTTGGGTAGGGGAAAGCTGTCTTTGGGGCAGGCTTTGTTGAGGCTGGTAAAGTCTACACAAACCCTCTATTTGCCGTTCTTCTTCTTCACCATTACTGTGTTGGATAGCCAAGTTGGGTAGTGAACTTCTCGGATGGCCCTAGCCTCCAGAAGTCTATCTACTTCTTCTTCTACTGCTTCGACGTGCATCAACGTCGGTCTTCTGGCTCGTTGAATCACAGGTTTTGCCGACCTGTTGACATTCAGTCTGTGGCAAGTGACCTCGGGGTCAATGCCAGGCATCTCGTAAGGTGTCCAGGCGAACACTCCAATGTTGGTTCTCAAAAAATCTTCCAGTTCTCTTTCCTCTTCTTCAGCTAAGCCTGAGCCGAGAAGAAAGAAGCGTTCTTCGTCGCCCTCCTGGACAAGGATTTTCTTTAGTGTCTCTTCACTCTTTTGGTTGGCTCCTTGCCGACATCATCTATTACCTCCATATCCTCGTCTTCAATCTCTGCCTCTTTTGGCTTTCGAATGCTGCAAGTAGTCTTCATTGCTGCCATGTAGCAAGTTTTTGCCTGCAGTTGATCTCCTCTGACTTTTTCAATCCCATGCTCTATTGGGAACCGTAGTAGTTGATGCAGTGTTAAGGGAACTGCCCCCATTGCATGTAACCATGGTCTTCCCAAGATGATGTTATATGGCGAGGGTGTGTCAATCACCATAAATTCTGTCTTGATCTTTTTAGTACCAGCTTGTACTTCCATGCTTGCTGCGCCCAGTGGCCATGTTGGCGTTCCATTGAAGCCGACCATAGGGCTGCTGGATTGTTCCAGGTTGTTAGGGTGAAGGGCCAGCTCCTTGTAACATCTGACGTACATGATGTCACAAGAGTTGCCTTGATCTATCAGGATGCGTTTCACTTGGCATTCCCCAACCTGGAGGGATACTACCAAGGCATCATTATACGGATGTTGGACCAACTCCAGGTCGGCTTCAGTGAAAGTTACCATCGGTCCTTGGCATTCTTCAGGCCGAGGTCTTTTGTATCCGACCTGGTTCATGTGCTGCAGGTGTTTTACTCTTTGGGTTTCTCCCCGAATGTCGCTTTCGTTCACCTTTGAGTGGATTACATTAACCACCCGTTGTCCTCCTGCTTGTGGTTGCTGTGCTGGGGGAGGCGGTGCTGCTGGTGCTTGAGGCAATCTTGCCTGTTCTTCTCTTGTCCTGGCCTCATCAACAAGGTCCCTTAGATGGCCTTGCCTTACTAGGTCTTCTAAGTGTGCTTTTAAGGCTCTGCAATCCTGAGTTGGGTGTCCTTCTTCATTATGGTAAGCACAGCGCCTACCAACATTTCTTCCCATAAATTCCCCTGGTGCTCTTGCCGGTGCCCTGAAATAGGGTTGATTTCGTATTTGGTCCAGGACTTTATGGATAGGGATTCAGAACACCGTCGTCACTGCCTGTTTACCCTTCAATTCTGTTTCTTGTTTGGTCGGCCTGTTGGTACCTTGGCCTCGCTTCGGCGAGCTGTTTCCCTTCTCCTGCTTTATCTCTTTGTTTCCCGACGTATCTTCCTCGGCTCTGGCGTACTTCTCGATTCTCGCCATGAGTTCCTCCATGCTTTTTGGCAATGTTTTTGCCAAAGACTTCCGTAGTGGGCAGTCATCTTTCAGGCCGTTCTTGAAAGACACGACCGCCACTTATTGGTTGCATTCGGGTATTCGATTGAACACCTCGTAGTACCTCTTCGCGTAGGGCCTAAGGCCTTCTTCCTTGGTGATTCTTAAAGCCATCAGGGCGTCGACCCTCAAGGGCTGTAATTTGTTCGTTACAAACCTAGCCACAAACATCTCGGCTAGGCCTTCTCATGTCTTTACGCTTCCCTTCGGTAGTTTATGGAACCAATCAGATGCAATTTCCCCAAAGGATGAGGGAAATACTTTGCAGAGCAACGGCTCGTTCCCATTGTATAACGCCATTGAGTTCAGGTATAGTCCAACATGAAAGTTGGGATCTGACTTACCATCATAAATTTAGGACCTTGGCATACTGAATCTCTTTAGTGCTTCAAATTTGTCCAGTTCCACCGAGAACGGTGTTCTCGGCTTAACTGGGGATGTCACCTCGGCTTCAACATTCTGCTGCCTCCTTTTGAGGTAATCCCTCAAGTCTTCCTTACTCCTACCTGGAGCTCGGCTATCTCTGGACTTCAATCTTTTTGGCACATTACTTTCGGCCTCGTGGTGGGCCCGTTTCGATCTTTCTCCATGGGTTGTGTCAAAGCAGAGTGCCTGCCCTTGAACATGCCGATGTTCTTTGGGCCCAGGATCCTTCATTCGATGTGTCATTCGGGACTCTTCTTGCCTCGGCTCCTCTCGTCCGACTTCCCTGGAAGGTCAGTGTGAGTGCCTTCCACTCCTGGTGTGCTGAGGGGCTTCGGGGATTGCTTTCCTTCTTCCTTTATGGGTGTTAATTGCTGGCATCGGCGTATCTTGCAGCGGGTATGGTGGCTGCATAACATTGTTTTGCATCATGAAGTTGACCACTGACTGTAGGTCTGCCAACTTGTTTGCCAAGTCTTTTACTTCCTCATCTCTCCGTAAGCACCTATCCCTCCATACCTGAAGGTTATCTTCGTTATAATACTTGCTTTGGTCTGTTCGCTTCGAAGTACCGCCCTCCTGGCCGACGTCTTTCTCTCCGTGACCCTGGTCATGATTTTCTGCACTGTGGTTATCTCCTTCAACGTCAAGATCAATTGGTCTGCCATTCCTAGCAGGAGTGTCGCCCCCAATGTTTTCCCTTTGTCCGTCACTAGCCATCTATTCTTCTAAGATTCCCACAGACGGCGTCAAATTGTGTGGGTAATTTTCTGACCACACTGCCCGCTTAGTAACCAACTGGAGAGCACCGGCAGAATAGATGGCTTCAACAGACCTGTAACAAAAAGAAAAGGCTCCGGCGGTAGCTCTTCCACCCGGGGACACTCCGACGATCAAGTCAGTATATCTCTCAAAGATAATCAAGTGCTAAACTCATAAGCTTGAGTATAAAACTGCGTACCTTAGACCTACGGGGTGCCTCTCTTTTATAGTTTACTAAATCCAAGTCCCACTAGAAGTCTGACTTCTATAGACTCCAATTCAATGTCAACTTTGGACTCTTCAAGAGATAAAGACAAACTCCCTAAGAGCTTTATCCTTATCTTAGCAAAGTCTTCTCTTTTCTCTAGGACTCTTGTCCCTTATCCGCTTATTTCGGATTCCGATATCTTCGGAGATCACCTCGGCCTTATCTAGGTAACCTCGGCATAACTATCAGGACACGTGGCATCTCGGCTGACACGTCGGCGTCACCATACCACGTGTTGGTATTTCAGAAAATACAACTCCACAATATATATAAAAGATAATGTGATAAAAAAATTAAAAAATTAAAAAAATAATTTTAACTGAGTTGCCAAAACAAGTCACCAATGGGTGATTTTTTTATGGCAACTGAAGTTTGAAACAATTGCAAAATTATTATTTACAGGGGTTAAATAGGAGAAAGGCAGAGGACCCATGTGGGGAAAGAGAAAAGTCCTGCAAATTCAAGTAGAGAGAGAAAATGTAAGTACCGTTAATTTTGATCAGTATTTTTCTGATGTGGTAAATGTCTGACACTATTTAATTACAGTTGTTGAGTTGTGGTTGGTTACGGATACCACATACGATGCACTAAAACATTTCTCACTTGAAGGCGTGACATAACAGGGACCCAATGCAACCAACTTTTGTATTGTTATCCATAGCCTATATTCTTCTTGTGCTCTGTTCTCTTTATTTATTTATTTATTTATTTTGTTTTATTGGATTCTTTTGTTTCGTTTTCTTTCATAGTCGATGTGAATTTTTGTAATAAATATTATGCCTCCGTTTGAAAAGTGGGTTGGCTTTTTAATTTTTTGACTTTTTTAAGTATATGAGCCTGTGCTCAAAAGCTTAGTTTGGGAAGGGCTTTTGACTTTTTGGCTTTTTTGATTTTTTTGTGAGAGAAGAGTGTAATGATATGGGGTTGGATGAGATGTTTTGTCTGTTGTGGCTCATGAGTCTATTCTGTCTTTTATGCCTCATTGAGCCAAAAAAGCCCAATGAGCCCCTGCCAAACCAACCCTATGTATATTAATGATATCATTTGATAATATCATTAATTAATAAAAAAATTTCCACTGCTGTTACGAACACTATACAGTTGAATTAGTTCTAATCTCAACAACAAACAGATGATATTTATTTATTTATTTATTTATTTATTTAGATGATATTTATTTATTTATTTATTTATTTATTTATTTATTAGTATATAATATTACAAAAAAACTCAATAAATTGCAATAATAATAATAATTAAATATATCACATAAATTAATACAAAAAAAATTCAAAATAAGATAAAGAAATTCAATAAATATATGAAAAATAAAACTCACATGTAATTTATGACATTTGAATCTCTAACATCTTAATAAAATACAAAATTTATAAATGTTCTGATCAATCGAACTAATCCGTAGATTATGAACAGTTCAAGAGAGGAGGCATTCATTGAATGCCGACCGTGTTATGTGGATAACACACATTAGGACATGGTTCATGAATTCTGAGTTGGACCCATTGAAGAGTAATTGGGTCTCCTAGATTTTTTGGTGAAGAATCAATTTGTGTGGGAGGACGCGGACCCACATTGAGAGAAAAATCCGGCAAGAGTTGCTTTAGCAATTGTCTGATGTCTGATCAATCACCAAGCCTGTGGGTCCCATCACCTGAATTCCAAAATAATATTCTTCAGAGTTCAGTCTCAACCGTTTGATCATGTTTGAGATGTGAAAATCTCAATGGTTACAAATGTATTAGAAAATAAAAAATAAAAAAAAAACAGAGATTTTTTTTTTCTTTTTTCTTTTTTCTTGTATTGCTGGATATGAATTATGAACGATTTCAAGCACAGTGCCAAAGAAGCAAAGGCTGTCAAAGCTTTTGCACCCCCACGTTCTATTCAGATAGGGTACTGCTGTGCATTCAATTAAATGACTGTCTTCATCTTCAATTTTGCTTCTCTAGTCAAGAATGTTCAAAGAAACAGGTCAATAAAATTTTTGTAGTTCAGCCAGAATTAAATAAAAAATGTCCTGTTTCTTCAGCTACTGCAATTCTATTAAAAGGTCAATAATACTACTTTTTTGGGCTGATGATTTCTAGAAACCAACCTAAAAGGCATAGCATTTATTCAATGACCGTGGTCATAACATTCAGGCTATTAAAATTTTGTATTTATCAAGAAAATATTTATCTATTCACTTTCTTCTCATTTTCCTAACTCTACCAAACAAAAAACACAGTAAGTTTTTACAAATTCAAGATCCAAACATAATATTGTTGCAGAGTGCCAGTTGCATAGCATAGCCAAGATTCAGTTCTGATTACTTGGCAATGCTCGACTTCTTTTTGTTTCTCAATCTAAATTTCTTGTGATTTGAATTCTAACATGTCCTTTCTGTTAAATTTCAGTATTACACAGCCTGAAGTTGTAGATCAGAACCACTAAAACCAAGTCTCAGTTCATCCCAAGAATGAAGAAACCAATCCCATCTGTTCTTTACATTCTCACAATCACTCTCCTATTTCCTAATCCATCAATGGCCGAGCCGCGAGCCCAGACGGTTCAAACCCAGTGTGGGAACCAACGCGAGCACAACCCCAAAATCTACGTCCCAAACTTCGTTTCAGCGATGGAAAACATCAGTGTACAGATGAGAACATCTGGATTCGGAGTAGCTGTCACAGGCTCAGGACTCGACACTAGCTACGGCCTAGCCCAATGCTACGGCGATCTCCCTTTACTCGACTGTTTTCTATGCTACGCTGAGGCACGTACTGTTCTTCCCCGGTGTTTTCCCTTCAATGGGGGTCGGATTTACCTCGATGGATGCTTCATGAGAGTACAGAATTACAGCTTCTTTCACGAGTATATGGGGCCGGGTGACAAGGCCTTGTGTGGGAACACGACACGAAAGAACTCAACATTTGAAGTGTCAGCGAGGCAGGCCGTGACGGAAGCTGTTGCAGGTGCACCAAATAATAATGGGTATGCGCGCACTGAGGTGGCAGTATCGGGGACGAAAAATGAATCAGCTTATGTCCTGGCTGATTGTTGGAGAACTTTGAGCGTGAGCGATTGCAAGGCTTGTTTGGTGAATGCGTCTCAGGAAATGTTGGGATGCTTGCCTTGGTCCGAGGGGCGGGCATTGAACACTGGATGCTTCATGAGGTACTCTGATACAAATTTCCTCAACCCGGAGCAGGGAAATGGAAGTTCAAGAGGTAACATAATAGTATTTCCTTCTTCCTTTGTTTGGTAACATGGAAAATCTGTCAAATAAAATTAGTACAATTGTTGGCTGAAAAAAATGACATATCTATGGGGTTTTCGTTGACAATTTTTGCAGGAACCATAATAGTGATAGCAGTTTCTGTTGTCAGTTCAGTTGTGGTTTTGGTGGTTGGGGGAATTATTGGTGTTTATTTCTGGAAGCACAGAAAAATTCAGAAGAAAAGAAGAGGTACATCAACCATTGGCCCTATCAAACATACAACAATTGTTCACTATTAATGAAAAAATGCAAAATTTGTTTGATCCTACATAGAACAAACATTTGAATTACAAGCAAACAAGTTCACAAAAGCTAATAATTGTCAGTAGAGTTTACTAAATTTTTATATAGATTGGTGAGTCATAAAATTTCTAAATTTTCCTCATCATCCTTCTCCCCTCCACAGGATCAAATGATGCAGAAAAATTGGTGAAGACCCTTTATGACAGTAGCTTGAATTTCAAATACTCCACGCTCGAGAAAGCAACAGGATCCTTCAATGAAGCAAACAAGCTCGGTCAAGGAGGATTCGGAACAGTTTACAAGGTAGTATATCAAGTGCACCCAAATTGACAACATTTTTGTTTTAGAGTTTGTAATGCTTTACAAATTAATTCCATTGCAGGGAGTTTTGCCTGACGGAAGAGAGATTGCAGTCAAGAGGCTTTTCTTCAACAACAGACACAGAGCCGGAGACTTCTACAATGAAGTCAACATAATCAGCAGTGTGGAGCACAGAAATCTAGTCAGATTGCTAGGTTGCAGTTGTTCAGGACCAGAAAGCCTTCTTGTCTACGAGTATCTACCTAACAAGAGCCTCGATCGCTTCATTTTTGGTGAGTAATAGAATGGTTACTTCAGAGTTTGAATTGTAGAAGTATTCTGAATCTGTATCAAGGTGACTGTAATCAATGCTTGACAGATTCAAACAGAGGTAAAACACTAAACTGGGAGAAGAGATACCAAATAATTACTGGGACAGCAGATGGTTTGGTCTATCTTCATGAAAATTCCAACACCCGAATCATTCACAGAGATATAAAAGCAAGTAACATTTTGTTGGATTCAAGGCTGCGCGCTAGAATTGCTGATTTTGGGTTGGCCAGGTCCTTCCAAGACGATAAGAGTCATATCAGCACCGCCATTGCAGGAACACTGTGAGTATCTTCTTTTTTGAGTAATAATGATCTGTTGGGTGAAAACCCAAATATTACCATGGACATTAAAATTTGTTTGAATTACCAATCCTTTTATTGTTGCTTATATGCAGAGGATATATGGCTCCAGAGTACCTAGCCCATGGCCAGTTAACAGAGAAGGCAGATGTCTATAGTTTTGGCGTTCTTTTGTTAGAAATAGTTACCGGAAGGCAAAACAACAGGAGCAAAACCACAGAATACTCGGACAGCTTAATCACAATTGTAAGTTCAAATCCGATGAGCACCAAGTAGTACCCATGTCAATTGTTGTATAAATTCACGCAGGCATGCGGAAAAAACAGGGAGGGGGGGTTTTGAAATTCATCTGGTGATGTATATCATTTTCCTGAAACAGGCATGGGAGCATTTCCAGCAAGGAGCAGTGGAGGAACTTTTTGACCCAAACCTGATGTTGCATAACTACAACCATAACAGCAACATCAAAAATGAGGTTTTAAGAGTGGTGCATATAGGACTTCTGTGCACCCAAGAGGCTCCGTCGTTACGACCATCGATGTCTACGTCATTACGGATGCTGGCAAACAAGGATGAAAACCTCCCTCCTCCCACTAATCCACCTTTTATAGACGAGAAGACCATGGAACTTAATGACACAAGGGAGAACCAAACTTACCCCCTCAATGTTGACAATTCTGCCTCAATTGCCAACCTCTCCCACAGTTCTTTCCACCCCAGGTGACACCTAGGTGGGCTCAAATGGGACGTTTCATGGAAGAAATGCTTAGAAACCTTTGATCAGTGAGGGTTTGATTGACCTGCACGATTTTGGCAACATTACAGCTGGTGTGCACCAGGGATTTGAGATTTTAGAAGGAAAATTACGGATTGTATCTCCAGCTATTGGTGACTGAATTTGAGCAGAGAAAGAGATCAAGGCAACGGAATGAAGTTCGTAAAAGAGTGAGCGTACTAGTAGAGTTAGATCACTTTCAGTTATATTCAAATCTCATATGGTATGCGACACCAAACATATTGGAAATTTTGATTCATCAACAGTAAATTTTGCTCTGTTTTTATGAATCTTATGATAATGTTAATGAGTTTCAATACTTCGGAAAAAAAATTATCACACCTTTTTAAAAAAAGAAGGCGCAATGTTAGTTTGGAACTTGAAATACATATTCTGAGTGAAAATTTTGTTTCCTTTCATGGGTCGCTCCCTCGTGACATAAATTTCAGAAACTTCCAAACGCAAAACAGGGACATGGGTCTACCGCGTGGCAACTAAGTTTCCCATGAGTCCTCCACCAATCTCGTAATGCACAGCATTTGCAAATCCCACATCTAAAGCAAGTTACTCCACGCTCGAGAAAGCAACAGGATCCTTCAATGAAGCAAACAAGCTCGGTCAAGGAGGAGAGAAAATGTAAGAGAAAAAATACACAATTTAAAATAAAATAGCCACATGAATCAGAAATCTGAAGGTCAACTTAACGGCCATGGCTTTAACTTCTAAGCACATTACTATAGAAACCTTATACAGTGTTTAACAACGAAAGCAAAATGATTAGTCGAGTGGTTAAACAACGCAGCAGGTTGGGTTTGAGGACCAGTTATTCTACAAAAGGCAGAAAGTCATGTATGAAAGACAAAGACATAGAATTGGTTAATGAGAAGGGAAAACCTGTTAAAAATTCCTGAATCGAGCTTTTCAAATATTTGTACTCCTCTGCAAGACCATAACCAGTTGCCACCGGAACAACAACATTATCAATCATCCATTCCTTGCAAAAACAATGCTCATGGGAGTCAAATTTTTTGTTGTTCATTTGCAAAAGTTACATTCAAATATCATATTTGTGAAACGATAATAGCACTGTCAAGTTGAGGCAGTGAACAAAAGTACATCGTTGATAAATTACAACACTGCCACAACCATTAGGCTAGAAATACAATTCCAGTGTCAATGATAAAAAATAAAAACAAAAATAAAAAAGCTACTAAAAAATTACCAAATTCTTTTAGAAACCATTTATTAAATAGCATTTGAATGTCGAACCAAAGAATGCAACAATTTATCTAGTCACGATACCTGAATTGAGGCACTAAATGTGTCGGCGCTTTTATTGAAGTCAAGGATAGATGCATTTGAACCTGGTTTCAGAACTCGATACATCTCCTCCATAGCTTTATGTAAATCAACCAAATTACGTAACCCATACCCAACGATGATAGCATCAAAGTAACAACCAGAAAATGGTAAATCAAGAGCATTTCCTTCAACCCACCTATGATTCATCATATAATAATATTAACGCCATGGCATTATCCGTTAGTGATGCACATAATAAATAGCTTAATACAATTCATAATATCATTTTTTCTAAGGCTTTATGATTACATTGTAATAAAAAATAAAAATAAAAATGAACTTTTGTGGTTTTTTTTTTGTGTCTGTCTGTGGGGGGTTCCTCAGTGGCTAGTTTCACCAATGCTCACTTAATATTGTCGTAGCAGGCCTTTGAGCATAAATATTGTCGAGATGAAGCAACTGATAATTGTTCCTTGGAGAAATCAAGACCAATCACCTGCAAATGTGACCAAAAAAGGACCTAGTATATAGGTGTAATATAGAAATTAAATATTTTGGAGGTTTTTTTCACAAAATTGTACATAGGGATGCCAGTAGGCAGTTCCTTCTGAGACACAATTCATGTCAATCTGAAATTTAACTAGCACTGTGCAGAGCTCTTGAAAATTTAAGAGACTTGAGAGTAAATTGGATATGATTCTTGAAAATTTAGTTAAAATCAGTTTATCAGGGCAATAGTCAAAATGAATAGATTAGAGAAGAGGGCTTGAACGAGGCATACAAGAGACCTCTGGAACGAACAAACTACCTACTGCAAACTCGGTTGTGGACAACAGTGAATCTAACCCTCTTTAATAAAAAAAGAGTGACCCAATGTACGAGATTCACTAAAAGACAGTCTAGGGAGACAAGATGTATGCAACCTATTCCCCATTCATGTGACTCAAACCCATGCCACCAGGGATGCGACCGGAAAGCCTTTGTTGGGCCAAGCTTCCCTTTTAGCTAACACTTTCTAATGAATTAGTTTTTTCCATATTGCTTGAAATGGTAAATACAGTATCCAATGTGATATTCAAACATCCAAATTATTGATAAATCAACAAAAGCGAGCAATTTTACATGTTCCCCGCATACGCATATAGATAATACATACATATATAACAATGACATTTGTTGAAACAAACAAAACACCCTATAATTTACATCCAACTTGTTTAACAGACATTAGAACAAATTCATAAAATAAATTAAAAAAATGAAATGAAATAAGGAATAGGAAGAAGAGCAAACCTTGCCATTGGGACCAACTTTCTCAGACAAAAGAAACGCCAAATCCCCGCTTCCACAACACAAATCTAACACATTGTCTCCCTCTTTCGCCCTATGCAAACCAAATATAAACTTCAACATTCCACACACACACACATGGTTGTTAGTTTGATTAATTTAAAACTCCACATCTACTAATTAACTACTAATCTCTTTTCAAATTCATTCCATTTTCCTCATTTATATATTATATATTATATAATTTATATAATATATTAAATTGAATTCGGGTTCGGGTTGCTCGGGTTGGCCATTGGTTCTGCTCAAGCCCGGCCCGAATTGCAATTCGGGCATCAAAAATCTGCCCAAGCCCGTCCAGATTACAAGATATAGTTGCCCAAGCCCTAAAAAAACTCGGGCTGAGCTCGGATTGCTCGGGTTGAGCCCGCCCGAGTTGCACCCCTAATTAGAACAAATTCATAAAATAAATTAAAAAAATGAAATGAAATAAGGAATAGGAAGAAGAGCAAACCTTGCCATTGGGACCAACTTTCTCAGACAAAAGAAACGCCAAATCCCCGCTTCCACAACACAAATCTAACACATTGTCTCCCTCTTTCGCCCTATGCAAACCAAATATAAACTTCAACATTCCACACACACACACATGGTTGTTAGTTTGATTAATTTAAAACTCCACATCTACTAATTAACTACTAATCTCTTTTCAAATTCATTCCATTTTCCTCATTCATCAAATCACTCAAAACTTTAGACAAAGAGAGAAAGAGAGAGAGAGTAATGAATGATGTAGAAGAATTGAACTAACCCACTCCACGATACAGCCATACGTTTCCAAATTCGATGCTGCCCCAAGCTCAACAAATCATTCAACTTCTTTTTTTTTTTTTCAAAACAAAACCCAAATTCAGAATACAGAAAACAAAATCGAAAAATCGCATATAAACACACATAATTCATAGAACTTTTTTCTAGTACGAGGGGCTCTAAGCAGTTGAGACAAGTAGATGAGCAAAGAAGAGGCGTACGTTATCGTAGACAGGAGCAATACGGTTAAAGAGCGCCTGGCGTTCCACAGAGCACTGAACCGGCCGCCGACTAGACCGGAAGATCGGACGGTTCATTCCTGGTGACGAGCGAATACAGAGGTGACTCGAAGCAGCCATTATCGTATCAGCTCTCTCTCTCTCTCTCGATCTAATATCCAGAAGATGATGATTTTATGACTCTCTCTTCGATTGGGCCGAGATTGATTTGGGCTGTAACCCAGTCTACTTGGTCTAAGGCCCAATGGGGCCCCATAAAGTTTACTTAAAGGGCTAGTACTGACTCAGACCGATATGTCCATGGTGATTTTTATCACGGACTGTTGGTTTGGGCCGGGATTGAAGTTCAAACTGGGGGTCCATAGATATATTGTTTTAAGGCTGAAAACATCTAAAAAAAATATATATATATATATATTTATTTGAATCATATTACCTATATATTTTTACACGTCATTTTATAATAATAATAATAAAACTAAAAAACACGTCAATTTATAAACAATACCTAAAAACAACCCAATCTTCTTGAAGCTTCCTCGGGTATGTATACCAAAAAAGGGCAATTGGTTTTCTGACAAAAAAATCAATTACAAGTCCTCACAAAAAACTAAAAAATAATAAATAAATAAATAAAATAAACAGGATTTATCATTTTTGTTTCTATTTTTGCTTAATTTTTTTTTAATAAATAAAATTAGATATCAATTCCAAAATATTCAAAACTTTTGAAAACAAAAAATCATTTCTTTTGTTTTCAGAATAAGTTTTCACTCAAAAAAAAAAAAAAAAAACATAAATTATTGGATCTTACATTAACATTCATTTACTTCGACATTCTCACAATACCGATTTGGGAAAAGAAAAAGAAAATCGTTGATCAACAGAGATAGTCATGCATTCAATAAGAAAAATGACATCGGTAATGTTATATGCACCAATTAATGTACTAATTAGTGTACCAATACTAATTATAACATTATTATTAACTCATTCATTAAATAAATTACAAATATCAAAAATCTCTTAAATTACGCCACATCATCAATTAGTATACTAATTAGTACATTAATGAATAGATATAGTATTATTCAAATGACATTATTTTGAATGCATTTGAATTGTAAAAGCGTCCATGGAAATGTAGAAGTCAAACCGACGAGGAGAAAAACAAAGAAATACTGAGAATTGAGTAATTTAAAATGTAAGTCTTTCTTTTTTTTTCTGGATTTTTTTTTAATTGAGAATATAAATATATCAACGTCAACAATAACATGTCAGAATATACATAAACCAAACACAATAAACAAGTTAGGAATACATTTGAGAATATACATTATTCGCGCACACCATCACCAGTCATATCTGTAAAGAATCGTCCTGAAAGATTATCCATGAAGGCGAATTGCATGTCTTCTGACGGTTTCCAATGCCGCTTTCGTTGATTTATAAACCAATTGTTAATTTGCTTTTGATCGAGCCCAGTTGATTCTGCTAGCAAAATTTTATCGGCTTCCTGGATGATTATGAGAACCGGAAAAAAAAAATTTAGAAGAAAAAACGAATGATACATACAGATGTTGCAAGAGGAACAATGCAATTACTGTAAATTTAATCAAAACACAAAAACCATAAAAGCACATGTTACAAAATCATGTAGACAGCAAAAGGTAACCACCAATGAGTAGCTAATATCATTATTATCAAATTGCATATCAGTTTATTTAAGATTGTAAATCACGATTCATAAGTTTCACTTTATTAATACAATATAAAATTCTATATAAAAATACATGCATAATGAATTAAGTGAAATAAATGTCAACAAAATTAAATTATACATACATATAAAATCACAAATATCAATATATAACTAATTGATTTTGTTTGAGAGGTGAAACCCATATGATTATGTAAACAAAAAATAAAAACACAATTTATAGTATTTTCCTTCCCGTTCTTGAATTTCTTGTTCTTTCGTATTGATATTATTGTATACTTTTTCTCAGTTTTTATTTGGTCATTTGATAGGCAATGCAATGGGAGACAAATGCTGTCATAATATGACAACACTCATCACTATGATTCCAAAAAAAATTACAATACAATATAGAGATATGCTACTTCAACTATAAATATAAAAAATATCCGTACTTCAAATTTTTAGTCTTCAATACTAGTCACGATCCACACTACTCAACATTCTTTACATTCATAGTGAAACTCTTTAATCCTTATTCACCCGTTTAGTACAGATAGATTTATAGTCAAATCTTGTAAAATCGTTATATTTGTGTGTTTGTTCTATTTTAATTTTTTCACTTCTTTTCCTTTTAAAATAATAGCATGCCCAGGTTGCCAAAAGTCAAAACATCAAAAACACAAGAATCTTGGCCTAGGTTGCCAAAGTCAAAACATCAAAAATACAAGAATCTTGGCCTAGGTTGCCAAAGTCAAAACATCAAAAACACAAGAATCTTGGCCCAGGTTGCCAAAAGTCAAAACATCAAAAAAAATAATAATAATAATAACATGCATATCTTTTTCCTTTTTTTCTATATATATGAATTAATAATAGACTACTACCTGGTGGAAAGCAAACTTACAGTTGGGTAAGGCCATTTATAGTGCAAATTCCACCACTGGAGTAACATTTGCCTAGCCTCTTTCGGCAGCTTTCCTTTCTTCTTCTTCTTTGAAAATTCCAGCTTCAAGCTGCTAACATGACTACCATATTTACGAAAGAGCCTATCTTTGAGTTCTTGATCTTCGCTCCACGTTTGTGCCTCTCGTGCTTCCATCTCCCCACTAAATTCCTCATCTGATGATACAGTACCACCATCATCTGGGCACAGATAAAAATTCATTATTGCCATAAGATATCCAAATTCATGTTCATAGATAATCCACACTAATCCTAAATATGTTTCTATTTTTATTTTTATAGCATTCATCGAAAAAGAAACACTAATCCCTGCATTATCCGCTATAACGAATAATAATAACACTCCATTGTCTCATTTTTGTATGAATAATTTTATGTGTTCTACCGATCTTCTATTTTTAAAACCCATTTTCTCTTTTATCTCAAAATATTTATAACTATTTGACTATGGATAAATTAGCAAACAAAGAATTTCAGTGGAGGGTTAGGGGAATATGAGCTGGGACTACTGATGGAGATGACAATAAAGAATTTCATTATATTGGCAGAGCATAATAAATGAAATACAAATTCATGTAAAGTAGTGGAGTTTATAACTAGATTAAAATAGAGGATTAACTGTTTTCACTGGGGTTGTTTTGAGGAATTAGTTAAAATTTGATATTTTTTTTATAAAAAAAATATGTATAAAAAAAATAGAGAAGTCATCTGACTTTAGTATATGTTTGACATGCACTAAAAAAATATTTTTTTTGTATATATACACTTATTTGCATCATATCAATCAACATCTCATCTCTACTTTACTATCAACTTTTTCTACTTTTCTACATATTTTTTTATAAAAAATTAAAAAATACACTTATTTAAAGCATTTCAACCCAAACTTAAAATCAAGAGTTGTTGTGTCCTTGAATCATGTGATATGGGAGAGTTGGGGAATGGAGAATTAAATCAAGAGTTGCTATGTCAAACGAAGAGCCTAAAAAGTAGAGAGAGTCCATCTCCAAGTGATCCCATTAATGGAGAGACTACAAAGGAGGATAATAGAAGAAAACTCAAAGCGAAACTTCATTACTTAAAGAGTGCTAGAGGGAAATTTTGAATCATTTGTTGTATATGTTGTATTTGTCATCTATAGGCTTAGTTTGTTTCTTTTGAGGGGAGTAGTTTTTTTTTGTTTATGTTTATTCTCCCTACAAAAGATGTGTATTAAACTCCATTATATATTATTGGTGATAATTACAAATAAACACCAGAAATTACAAAAAATAAAATTTACAATGACTAATATAAGGGCTGAGGTGCGGAAAAATCGCTCTCTTTAAAGAGATTCAAGCCCTCTGTGATTAGGCAAAGCCTCACACCGGTGCAGCAGAAAAACCTTGACTTGTCCCCCCCCAAGATACAACAGCCCGACTAAGTCGTATGATTCACCAATACTGCACAATTAGTTGAACTCAAAGCTTTATCACACACATCCTTTTTATTTGCCTGATAATCTCACTCAAGACATAACAACACAACCAAAACTTCTTCACCCTTGCACCAAGATAGGACATTAGCTCAAATATATAGGAGATAAGGCTTGGAAGTGCCTTGGTGGATATGAAACAGATGAGGACTTGGATGGATAAGCATGGTGGACTTGAAAAGGATAAGTCTTGGTGGACCAAGACCAAGACTTTGGAAACTTACCTTGGAAGTCTTGGAGCGGATAAGAATTGGTGAACTTGATGAAGACTCGAAGAGACTTGGAGAGAAAGAAAAGAAAAACCAACCTATAACACATTATAATATTAAAATACCTGCTAACATTCTCCCACCTATTTTAATATTATAGGTAACAAAACTGAGATTATTAGGCAAATAAAGATATTATGCATCATGGTAGGTGTGCTCTGCATTGAACCTCCATTAGTAAAACAATAATATCTACTCCAGAGCCAATAGTATGCTCAGCGTTGAACTATGACTACTTAAAGGAAATAAATAATTATTCCACACACATAATATTCCAGGTGTTCACAAAAGCTTTAAAAGCTAGCACATTACAGCCTTGTGCGATCTCAGGATTCATGAGTGTGTTTGAGAATTAGCCCAAATCTCACAGGTAGCGGCCCCACTACCACACTCACATAGGTGAATTCTGTCAAGGGTGCCCCTGTAACTATGGCACCCCACTCAATAAGAGCTACAGAAATTCATTAAGAGTTTTTTAATAACTCAACCTCTACAACGTTACAGAATAAATGCACTTACATCATAAGGATGGGTAAAAGATAATTTAGTGCATTTCTCACAGCCATCATATGATCGTTTTTCTCATTGAACCCAGTTACAGGATCTCTGGTCCCTGAGTTGAGTATCCTCATACATGACTCCTGCTATATTCAATGGGCTTCAACCCCATCCCCCTCGATGTATTCCAGACTCTATCTCTTACTAAGGCCTTAATTAATGGATCTGCAAAATTATCACCAGATTTAATATAATCCACATTTATAATGTCATTATTCATATAAGATCTCACAGTACTGTGTTTTCTTCTGATAGGTCTGGATTTACCGTTATAATAACAGTTATTAACTCGACCAATTGCTACGGTGCTATCACAATGAATTAATATAGGTAGAATCGGTTTTTCCCAACAAGAGATTTCATTTAACAAATCTCTTAACCAATTTGCTTCTTCACTAGCTCTTTGCTGTCCATTTCTTTTAGTGCATTATTCCTCATATTTAGTTTTAGGAATAAATATTCAGAGAGTTAGAACACAGGTTTGGTTCGCCGAACAAATTTTTTGGAGTACTACTACAATTTGTGAAGATCATTGTATCCTGGGAGATAGACGCCACTCATCGTAAGTACCGTAGCGGGGCGAATCTGTCTTAAGGACAGAGTGTCACACACTCGACTTGGTCTTAAATTATTTATTCAGTTCAACGAAATAAATTCGGTATGTTATTTAATTATTTTGTTTGACTTATTTCAGTTCATTTTATTTACACAGAAGATTGTTCCAACACATATTCCTTTTGATTAATTACATTCTCATCATTTTCAATAGGAAATAAATGCACATGAGGATCAAAAGGAGTAAGAACATGCTTGCAGTTATAAAAATTATATTTTCTCAAAATTTTCTCAACATAATGCGACTGATCAAGAAATATACCATCATAGGTTTTGGTAATTTTCATTCCCAAAATATAATTAGTCTCACCAAGATCTTTCATATCAAAATGGCTACTAAGCATATTTTTAGTTTCCACGATGATATGCAAATTAGAGCCAAATATAAGTAGATCATCCACATAGAGGCTAATAATGACATGGTTATTCTCTTCAGATTTATAGTAAATGCATTTATCACATTCATTCGTTTTATAGTCATTCTCAATTATGCAGGAATCAAATTTCTCATGCCACTGTTTAGGGGGCCTGTTTAAGCCATATAGGGATTTAACTAGCTTACACACTTTGCTTTCTTGACCGAGTTCCACAAAACCCTCAACTTGATCCATATAGATTTCTTCACTCAGGTCTCTATTTAAAAAAACTGTTTTAACATCCATTTGATGAATTTTTATATCATAAATTGCAGCCACTGCAATTAATAATCTAATGGATGTAACTCTAATAACCGGAAAAAATGTATCAAAAAAGTCAAGATCTGCTTGTTGTTTAAAACCTTTTGCAACAAGTCTTGCTTTATATTTATCAATAGTTCCATCCGGTTAAAGTTTTTTTCTCAAAACCCATTTACAGCCAATAGTTTTACAACCTGGTGGTAAATCTACTAATACCCAAGTTTTATTGGATAATAATAATTCCATCTCATCATTTACAGCCTCGTTGCAAAAAACAAAGTCAGGAGATGCCAAAACTTCTTGTAAAGTTAATGGAGTTTCCTCCACATTAAAAACATGATAATTAGGGCCAAAATCTTTTTCTAATCTGGCACTTTTACTCCTTCTTGGTTCAAACACTACAGTATCTTGGTTTTGTAAAAGAGGAGTAGAGGAAAAGGTTTCAGATAAAATATTTTCTTGATAATTTTGACCCCTACCGTTTTTAGATTTAAAAGGAAATTTTTCTTCATGAAAAATTGCATTACCTGATTTAAAAATTATTTTGTTTTCAATATCAAAAAACCTATAGGCTGTACTATTTGTTGCATATCCAAGAAAAGCACAAGTGGCAGCTTTCACACCTAATTTAGGTCTTTTAGGGTCCACAAGTCTAACAAAGCTAGACAACCCCAAACCCTCAAATATCTCAAATTGGGCTTATGCCCTTTCCACAACTCAAAAGGTATAACTTTTGTTTTTTTTTTTTTTATGTGGCACTCTATTCATAACATAACATGCAATTAAGATTGCTTCTCCCCACAAATTTGAAGGAGCACCTGCTTCAATTAGCATAGCATTTGTTAAATCAGTTAAAGTTCTATTTTTCCTTTCTGTTACACCATTAGATGCAGGTGAATATGGCGGAGTAGTTTCATGGATTATTCCCAAAGACTGAGCAAACGAGATGAATCCAAAAGATTTATACTCCCGGCCTCTATCATTTCTATATCTTTTAATCTTTTTACCGAATTGATTTTCAACTTCAAGAAAGAATTCTTTAAATTTTTTAAAAGCATCACTTTTATTTTTCAACAAGTATACATAAGTGTATTTTGAAAAATTATCAATAAAAGTGATAAAATATCTATTTCCAGCACGTGTTAAAATTCCTTCAAATTCACATAAATCAGTGTGAATTAATTCTAACAATTCAGTATTTCTCACCACACTTTTATGAGGCATTTAGTTATTTTTGCTTGACTACAAACTTCACATTTCTCAGACTTATTTGTTAGTCTGGGAATTAATCCTAAACTACTCATGACTCCCACATATCGGCTATTAATATGACATAGACGAGCATGCCAAAAATTCATAGAAGACAGCATGTAAACAGAAACATGTGCTTTCTTATTCTCAACATTTAATTTAAACATTTCATCACAGGCATACCCTTTCCCCACAAATATGTTTTTTTTAGTGATTACATATTGGTCAGATTCAATAGTCTGCTTGCAACCAGCTTTGTTGAGCAAATAACTTGACATCAAATTTTTCCTCATGGACGGTGTGTATAATACATCTTTTAAAACATGCACACGTCTA